ACAGGTTTGAATAGTATGATGATGATTCTTTATCAACCATCTTCGATACAGATCTCTCTAATTTGAAGAACGTTAACGGATTAAACATCCAAATAAAGCAAGTATTACCTGTACCCGAAGTAGTATAAAGACAGGAAGAGGAAAGTGGGCAGGCCACACTTCTGCATTTTCTTAATAAAAAGACAAGCCCAAGAGAAACTTTTGACATCAAACTGAAAAATCATTTAATCAAATGGACTATAAATTTTTTATTTTCGAAAAATATCTCATTGAATCAACAATATTTATAATAGAAATTTTTTGTAAAACACTTTATTTTTCCTTTGGCAAAACTCTACAAATTGTTTCTACAAGTTCATCCAATTCTTCCTCAGAAAGTCTCTCTTCGCATTCTTCGACGATCAGTTGAACTTCCAGCGCCTGTTTTGGACGGAGATTTAAGATTTGTACAATCTTAAAATAATTTTTAGGGGTTTATATTAATTGTTACTTGCTTTAATTAATATTAACTAAAAATCAGCCCGATTGATTCGGTATAAATCAAGAAATTCAAAAATTTAGAGTGAGGTTATAGTTATGGGGAGCAGTATATGAATTAAAAATAACGATAAAAGAAAACCTCTGCTCCAGTGAGCTTAAACTTCTTGAGAGAGTTAATCAAATCAACAATATTTTCTCTACACTGTAAAGCAGCATTAGTATCATTTAAGTATTTTGATGCCTCATAGACAATTGTATTATGATTTTGTGAACCTCTATTATATTTTTGTTGTATTTTTGCTTGGTTAAGCAAGAATAACACCTCTTGGTTGGTAATTAATGTAGTTCGTGGGTCTAAGACTTCCATCTTTTGGTGGGTGGTTTTTATAAAAACAAAAAATATTTTTGCTGAACAAAAATATGTACCTAATAATAAGATTTAAAATTAAAAGCAAAAATTTAAATTATTCGATCACCGCGAGATCGAATCTCGAATTATATATTACAGGCCCCCGGGATTAAAAATTTTTGCCGTTCCGTTTATTTTGTGTTTATTTGGAGAGTTGCGCAAATTTTTACTCTATTGGACATTTTGAGATCGTCCGCAAAAATACCTCAACATAAGGGACACGCCCAAAACAACGCGGGCCAAAACTACGCGACCAAAACTACGCGACCGAAACTACGCAAGCCAAAACTACGCAAGCCCAAAACTACGCACGCACATAACTACGCAAAACTAACTATTTAGTAATGTCCGGCAAAATCAGTTTCTTGATCCGAAAACCGGATTTTGAATTCCATGCTCGTGCCGGACCGGCTCCGTTTGAATTTTTCCGAGTTCCGGAAAATATTATTTTCCGAAAAATATGTATTTTCCGGAAAAATACATATTTTCCGAATTACGGAAATTATTTTCAGGAAAATGGTTACGGAATAGTACAGATTTTCCTGAATTTTCCGGATTTTCAGGAAACAATTTTCCGGATTCCAAAGAAAGAATCATCAGAGAGTGATCAACTGATAAAGGTTGATCATCAGAAAGTGATTAATTGATCAACAGCAGAATTCAAATTGAATGTACTAAATAGTTTTGCGTAGTTATGGGCGTGCGTAGTTTTGGGCTTGCGTAGTTTTGGCCTGCGTAGTTTCGGTCGCGTAGTTTCGGTCGCGTAGTTTTGGCCCGCGTTGTTTTGGGCTGTACCCCTCAACATAAGTAGAGAGACTACACGAATGGAAATTAATAGAAAAAAGGCTACCCTACAACTCATCGAATCCTTAACTCATCGAATCCTCAACTCATCGAATCGGCCAAAAACACTCAACTCATCGAATCCTTAACTCATCGAATCCTCAACTCATCGAATCGGCCAAAAACGATCAACTCATCGAATTTTTCCAAAAGGGGACGTTTGAGTCCCCTGTTTTTATTTTTTAGATTTTTTATTGTTTTGTTTATTTTTTTTTTGTTTTCTTCTGGGGTTTCAACTAATTTTGTTAATTAGTTGATCGGGCACTCATCCAAGTTTATCCGGCCAGTGAAAACATTATCAGAACATTATCTCATTCCTAATAAATTATGCTGGAGATTTTACCGGGTAAAACCGGACCAAATTAGTCCAGTAGACCCCGATTATGCCCAAAAGCCCTTTTTCCTAGCCTCCATAGCAGCAAAAAATTTTTTCAACGAAGATTCAGTTAGCCCTTTCGGGAGAAAAATAAAAACAGGGGACTCAAACGTCCCCTTTTGGAAAAATTCGATGAGTTGATCGTTTTTGGCCGATTCGATGAGTTGAGGATTCGATGAGTTAAGGATTCGATGAGTTGAGTGTTTTTGGCCGATTCGATGAGTTAAGGAATTTTAGCCGATTCGATGAGTTGAGCGTTTTTGGCCGATTCGATGAGTTAAGGATTCGATGAGTTGAGCGGGCACGTAGAAAAAAGGGGAGAAATATAATGGCAGAGCAGAGAATAAGAGATTTAAAACCGTTGAGATTTAATGGGCTCCTATACAACTCATCTAATCGTTAACTCATCTACTCGTTAACTCATCTACACGGCCAAAAAGGGTTAACTCATCTAATCGTTAACTCATCTACTCGTTAACTCATCTACACGGCCAAAAAGGGTTAACTCATCTAATCGTTAACTCATCTAATCTTTATCTCATCTACACGGCCAAAAAGGGTCAACTCATCCAATCCTTCGGAACGAGACTATTGAGTACCGGCCGTTTGAGTCCATGGCCAGTAGAGTACCGCCGGTTGAGACTCAACTGGTCATGGACTCAACTGGTCATGGAATCAACTGGTCATGGACTCAACTGGTCATGGACTCAACTGGCCATGGACTCAACTGGTCATGGACTCAACTTACCAGAGACACAGACGGCCAGAGACTCAGACGGCCAGAGACTCAAACGGCCAGAGACTCAGACGGCCAGAGACTCAAACGGCCAGAGACTCAAACGGCCGGAGACTCAGACGGCCAGAGACTCAGACGGCCAGAGACTCAAACGGCCGGAGACTCAGACGGCCAGAGACTCAAACGGCCGGAGACTCAGACGGCCAAAGACTCAAACGGCCGGTACTCAATAGTCTCGTTCCGAAGGATTGGATGAGTTGACCCTTTTTGGCCGTGTAGATGAGTTAAGGATTAGATGAGTTAACGATTAGATGAGTTAACCCTTTTTGGCCGTGTAGATGAGTTAAGGATTAGATGAGTTAACGATTAGATGAGTTAACCCTTTTTGGCCGTGTAGATGAGTTAAGGAATTTTAGCCGTTTAGATGAGTTGAACGTTTTTGGCCGTGTAGATGAGTTAACGAGTAGATGAGTTAACCGGACACGGATTTAATGTCACGTTGATATTAACGTCGTTCTGGCGTTGTGTTTTTTAAAAATTGAGTGCGACTAATTGTTGATATTCGCCGCGAATCAACGAAAACGCTGACTTGCAATTTCCTACCTCTATTTACTATCCTACCTAGTCGGTCTTTTAAATGCTTAAAAGTTTTGATCAGGATCAAAACTCCACCCCAAAACCAAAAAGCCTAATTTTTCAAGACTAAGTCTTGGATTATTAATTAAAAGGTAAATCTCTAAAACCTCCTACACTAATCGATTTTTATTCTTTTTATCACCAATACCAGATTTTTATTTTTCCTGTTTTTATTTTTCAGGATATATTTACTAAAATTGTTTATTGCAAGTTTTAGAAATGTCTAAAGTATATTATGGACGAGATGTTGTAAGTTGTAAAACATTTTATTTTATACTTTTAAATGCTTTTAATTTTAGATTACCGAGAGTCCTGAGATCGTTGAGTCCATGGTATAATAAAGGAAATTTTGAAAATACTAATTTATTCATTTTAGAAGCCGAAGGGGAGGCAGCTGCGTGTTGACCCGGAATGGATTCAGCGTTTGCCTCGACATCATGAAGCAAAGCCTTCATATTGGATGGCAATCACGGCGGCGATGCTTGTTGGAGCTTTTACTTGGCTTCGTCGTTTCTAATTGGGATGTTGTGTAAAGAATTGAAAATTTAGGGAATTTTGGTTATATGACATATAAAGATGGAATTTAATTATCTTTTAATGGTTTGGTATAAATATCAGTTTGTTTTTCTGTAGTATTTTGATTGAAATAAGGAAAAGTTTAATCATGGGCAGGTTAGACTTATGAGGAAGGGAAGGTATAACTGTAGCTTATTGTGGGACTTTTCGGTTATTCTTACCCCTTTTTTGTGGACTCATGTGAAAATACTAAATTACATTTTATTTGGCATAGGTTCTGATTGTTGAAGACTCACGGCATAGACTCATGTGAAAAAAAATTATATGCGTAAAAATCAGTCATATTTAAAAACTATCTTCAGCTTTTCTAGGAATCTCTGCGGGACTCATGTACTAAGTACATAAATTAGTCCGCAAAACAGTTTGCAAAAAAAGTCAATTTCAATAGACTAAAACCCCAAAATGTTTTTCGATTTATTCAAATAAAAAAGTGAAAAATGAAAATTACAAATTAAAATTACATCCTTTAAGTAATCAATCACGTTCTCTAAATTATACTTCTCATTAAATAATTTCGTCTCACTGCCTGTCCAACTTTTAGGATGGTAAAGCTAACGGCAGTAGCAGCCAAACTATACGGAAGTGATGCAGTAGCTATCAAAGATGTCAATCCAAATGCTCCAGCCTGGCCAAACAAACTCTAAAAAAGGACATGTTAGTTTAGTCGAGGACTCACTCCAAAACTGGTCGATTTATACGTCACTCGATTCGCCTTGCCGAGCTGATGTGTGTCGAATGGTACCACTCCCTATTGGGGGGTTTACGTTGTTTATTTTTCATCGTTATTTTGTTCAAACTTGTTCAATTACGGAGATTTTGGTGTCATTCGACTTATGTTAGCCGCACCTAGAAAGTGATACCATTCGACTCATATCAGCTCGCCGAGACGAATCAAATGACATATGATTCGACCCAATTCTGAGTGGGTCCTCGACTAAACTAGCTCAAACCTGATCACTTTCCCTAAGCGAGTATCGACACCATTTAGCAAAATGTTCGCAATTATTGTGCATAAGATTGTAGTTACCAGTTCCCAGCTGTAATTTAATTAATCTTTTTTAGTCTAATTAAAGATAGGACTTTCTGCAAGGCGCGTTCCACAACAATTGTTGGAGGAAATGGCCTTCGATGATTGTCCAAAGAATTATTTACACGTGAAAGATCCGCGCCAGCGACAATAAGAAATGGATCAGAACGAACCTATAAGAATAATTAAATTTATTTAAAAGATTCCCTTAAACAACCGAAGCAACACTCCGACTTAATAATTTAGCTCCAATTTCCTTTTTATTAGCACTTCCATGATTTTCGGTAGAAATGTGTGCAACACAATGTATATCGTCAAAAATACCAATATATACGACCCAATGCTGTTTATATAAAAATAAATTTAAACAAATTTTAATATAAACTAACAGTGTATGATTGCCGGGAAATTTCAATTAGATCACCTCTTTCCAAAAATAAAATTAATTCTGCAGCAGGCAACCAATTAGTCTTTAATTGATTTGGCTCCATACTTTCTGTAATTTATCTGAAAAGAGTGTGTATTGGTAAAGATTGATTAATTACTAGCTAAATGTTCCCTCTAAAAAATATTTTAATGTTTAACATTTGTTTTTACTTTTTCTCTTTAAATAGTAAATGTCAACTTAACTAGATAGTAAATAGCAATTAAAAATCGAAACTTTTTGCTGAAGATTAATTTGTTGTTGTTAATGTTTTTCCTTCAATAAATTACTCTATAAATACATATTTAGTACATGTCTACCAGGGGTGTGCCAGTTTCGTGTTTCGCATTTCGCGGATTTTCGCGTTTTTTGGACTTTCGCATTTCGCGTTTCACTTTTTAAAATCCGTTTCGGCACACCCCTGATGTCTACATAAAAATTGACTAAAAATTTTTTAAAAAGAAAAAAAGTTTTTGTTTAATTTTAGCAAATTAATTGTGAAAATATTTGCACAATAAATATGAATAATCAACCAATTAATTTAGTTGAACATTTTCACCACATCAAATTTTATGTGTCAAATGCTTTACAGGTATTTAAGAACTCTTTAAATTTCTGATTAAATTTTAGGCTTCCTTTTGGTATTGTTTCCATTTTGGATTCGAACGTTTTGCGAATCGGCAATCTGAGGAATCTTCAGAAATTGCAATACGTAATGGAAAAGTTAAAATATTTTTAATTTCTTGCTAATTAAAAAATATTTTAAAGATAATTTTGGTTTTTAAAAGTGTTATTTGCCCAAAGGATCCAGAATTAATTGGTGCTGAAGTTGCAATACATGGCGATTTTGTTAAAGACATTGTAAATATTAATTCCCCCTGCAAGACCTCTTCAAATCTGCTGATATCCTGCCAAATCCACAAATATCCCCTTTATCCTTCCAAATCCCCCAGTATCCCATTTAATCCCCCTTGATCCCCACGATTTAACTTGTAAAGAAATAAAAAGTAAAAAATGGTGTTGATCAAAAGTTTTTAGGTCTTCAGGGTTGGCCCCTTAAATATATTACATTTAATTTTTAGTTTTTTTTTTGTTTTAGAGTTATTCAGTTGATAATTTGGATTTTATTTTGGAAGTAAGTTTTTAAATAAATTGATATTTAAAAGTTTTTTTACTTTCTTTTCGGAATTATCAAAAAAATTAAGTTTAATAGTTTTTGTCAGAGAATAAATTTCAAATAATTTTTTAAAATTCCTTTCTTTTTAGTGTTTATCAAACAATAATTATCAAATATTACAACCAAAAACATTTTTTAATGATTCTGATGGTTCTTTATGGATTGCAAGAATTGCAGGCTCTGGTGGTTCAATTGTCCACACTTTAATACAAAATATTGATTATAACGGCCCTTTCCTTCCAGGATTTAAATTCTTACAAAATTTCGATTTTTGTTCGAAACTGTGAGGAAAATTCTTTTAAAATTAAAAGAAAATTTAAAAAGATCGCCAATTAAATTTGACGGTATTGACCATGTTGTGGAAGCACATCCAGAAGATTTTTTAGATAAAGTTGTTAGTTGGTATGAGGAAATACTTAAAATGCGTAGATTTTGGTCTATTGATGATAAAATAGTTAAGGCAGAATTTAGTGCTTTACGTGCAATTTTAATAAAAAATGAAAATGTTGGAGAGGAAGAAAAAAATAAAAATTTAGTTCAAGTAAAGATGAATTTGTTGGGAAATTAATTAATTTTTTTGTCTATTATTAGATAGCCCTTGTTTCCCCAGTAAATGTTAATGGAATAAAAAGAAGAGGGCAAGTTAAGGTGTTTTTTTGGAAAAGAATTTTGGAAAAAAATTATTTTTTAAAAAAGGAATTTCTTGATTTTCATGGCCAGCCAGGCATTCAACATATCGCTTTTCACACAAATAATATAATTAAACAAGTAGAGGAATTACAAAAAAGGGGATTAGAATTTCTTAAAATTCCCTCTTGTTATTATGATTTACTTGAAGAACGTTTAAATAAAAATTTAAAAATTAAAGAAGATTTAAATAAAGTTTTTATTCTAAAAATAAAAAAAGAAAAAATATTTTTTAGATAAGAGAATTGGGTATTTTAATGGATTTTGATGAAAATGGTTATTTATTACAAATATTTACTAAACCTGTTCAGGATGTAAATAAATAATTAAATTAATTTTTAATTTTTTTAAAATTTATTTTTTAATTTAAAAGAGAGCAACACTTTTCTTTGAAATAATACAAAGAAATAATTTTAATGTTTGTTTTTTAATTTAAATATTTAAAAGAAATAAAAAATTATTCTTAGGGATTTGGAGCTGGAAATTTTAAAGTTATTTTAATTTTCCAAAAAATATTTTTTTTAATTTTAGGCATTATTTGCTGCTGTTGAAATGGAACAAAAACAAAGGGAAGCAAATTTGGTAAAATTTGAAGGAAAATAAAACTTTAATTAATTTAAAAAGGACTTTAAAATTTAATTCTTTTTTTTTTTTAAATTTAATCTTTCTTTTTAATTTCTTTTTAATTTCTAAAAAATCTTTTTGATAAATCTTCTCTTCCCTTTATTTATCTCCTAATTATTATGCCAATTCTTTTTCTTCCTCTAAATATTTTTGTGTTTTTTGTTTGTTTTATTATTTATTATAATATCCTCCGCTACCTCCTCCCCCCTCCTATTTTGGCTCAATTTCTTCAAAGCTTTTTTTATTTTTTTCCTGCCATTCTCGTCTATGTATATATTTATATTTCTTTTAAAAATGCCTTTATATTTTTGCTTTATTCTGGTCTTTTAAATATTTTTTGTTCATCGATTTTATTGATAAAATTTAAATTAAAAAAATTTATTTTTAAAAATTTTAAACTATTTTTGAATAATCCTTTCAATAAATAATTTAACATTAAAATACTTAAAAAACATATATATATTTAAAAGCTTTTTGAGTGTTTTAGGTAATTTTAAGTAAAATTTGATGTGAAGAGAGTAAAAAAAACCCTCCTTTTTTAATCCTCTCTTCAAGTAGATTTTTAATGTTTTCTCGCTTTTTTTGTAGTAGTAATCTTCAATAAATATATTTTAATTAAAAAATTCTTTTATTTAAATAAAACTAAAAGTAAATTTTTTTAATATCATGTAAATATTTAAATATATTCGAAAATAAGAAAAAAACTACTTTTAACTTTTATTTCTGAATTTTTTCATTTACATACAATTTAAATTTAAATATTTTTCATTGTTTTATTCTCACAGTTTTTATCTTTTTTTCCTATAAAAAAGTTTATTGTTTTTATTTTTAAAAATATTTTTATTTTTTTGGATCATTTTTCTTTCAAAATTTTCTCATATCAATTTAATTTTTTTTGTAAAAGCATTTATCTCTCCCTCTCTTTTTTTAACAAAAATATTCCAAATAAAATAAACAAACAATTTAACAATTTTTTCTTTCCTTTTTTTCAATTTAACTTTTCTAAAAATTTCTTTTTTGAATACAAATTGGTTCCCAAATTTCCATTATTTACTTTCCAAACAATTATTTTGGGGACAATGAATGAATGGCATCGTTTTTATATTAAATAAATTTATTTTCTTTCAATAGTTTTTCCCTTCTTTTTCAACTATTTTTGCTTTGTTTGGTTAAAGTTAATTTATTTTTTTGTTAAATTTATGTATAATTAAAATTAAAAACAATTAAAAACTTCCGAAAAACGCGACAAAAGGATTAACGAAACAATAAAAGTATTTAAATAAATTGTTCTTTTTAAGTAAATATTTAATAATTAAAAGTTATCTAACTGTTTTAGAATTAAAGTAAATAATTATTTTAAAATAAAAATAAATTAAAAATTAAATATTTTTTAAGGCAGAGGTTGGTCGGAAATCTGACTTGCGACGATTTATCACTTCGTTTTCCTCTTGGCAAGAATTTTTCTTTTTACAAAAATTTTCATTTATTGTTCCGACATTTTTAGGGTTGCTCCTCGTCCGCAAAAGATTGAGGTATTTTCAATGTCCTTCTGATTTTTGATACCTTGGCAGTTTCTATTGTTTTTAAGTATATTTATACATACTTCCCTATAGCCGAGCAAAAACATTTATTTTTTAACTTTTACAGCTACCTAAACAACAAAAATTCTAACAACAATTAACAATTTGTATTATTAATATATTTTGTTTTATTCATTAAATATATGCTTATGTACATACATAGTACATATATTTTTATTTTTATAATTGTCATTTTGGCTTACAAATCCTTTGGGAGAGGATTGTGTTTCTTTTTTTCCCAATTTTTTTCTACTATCTCATCTTTCTATATAAAATATTCACTCAATTTATTGTTTACCAACCTCATTTGGTATTTAAATAGAAATTATTTTCAAATAAAAACCAAAATAAATAAATATATTTTCTAACAACAAAAAAATAAACTTCAAAAAATTATTTTCTAAGAAAATAAAATTATTTTGTTTTTTCTTACTTTTTTCTGTTTTCTTCCGCTTTTCCTTATTTTTTCTGCGTTACTTCCTCTTTTTTATTCTGATTTTTGCTGCTTTAACTTTAAAAATGTCCAATCAAGCATATATTTGGCTAGTAAATATTTTTTATATATTTTATTTCTTTTTTGCCCTAAAATATATAAATTAGCTAGTAATATATTGATTTATACACCAAAAAAGTACATTTTTATGCTACGGTTACATAAAAATCGCGCGCGACACGCGACAGAAAAGATAATGTAAAAAGAGGAGAGAAAAATCGCGCGCGATTTTGTCGCTTTTTTCTAGTGGTTACATAAAAAGCGACTTCCGCCGGCGTCTTGTCGCGCGCGACTTTGTCGCTTTTTTGAGTGGTTACATAAACCGCGACTTCCGCCGGCGACATGTCGCGCGCGACTTTGTCGCTTTTTCTAGTGGTTACATAAAATGCGATTTCCGCCGGCGACTTGTCGCCGGCGACACTTTTTTTGATTCAAACATGTTTGAATTTTCGGCGACACTTTTTTGCGACATGCTATTTCTCGATCCTTGATCAAAATTAGAGGTCGGCAAAATCGCACTTCCGGGATCCCGAGTCGGGATTTGGATATAGTTTAGTCGGCAAAATCGCACTTCCGGGATCCCGAGTCGGGATTTGGATATAGTTTAGTCGGCAAAATCGCACTTCCGGGATCCCGAGTCGGGATTTGGATATAGTTTAGTATACCGGAGTTTTAGTTCCGATATAAGACCCATATAGATCCACCGATATCCCTCTAAATCTATTAGATTTTTACAAATTTAATCTTATTTACAGTAGTCGACATAAAGATAGGGACAGGAGTAATTTAAATGAAAATTAACTATTTTTTATTCAAAAAATACGTTCTATATAGCAATCGAAAGCTCTATTCGTATCTCAGTTGACATGTTTCTGCATTTTTCATGAAATTGAAAATAGGCCGAGATAATCCGGATCTACCAGATATACCAAATCCTATATCCGCGGAAAATTTTTCTGAAAAAATTAGACAAAAAAATCCGGATCTACCAGATATACCAAATCCTATATCCGCGGAAAATTTTTCTGAAAAAATTAGACAAACCCATTTGATAAAGCATATTTTTCTGAGTATTTTCCACAAAACCGCTTAAAAATATCTTTTTCCGGTCCAGAGATATGATTTTTTGAAAATGGCATTTTTCCCTTAAAAATTGAATTTTTCCGAAGGCTCGGGGAGACCTGCTCAGTGCAAAATTTTTTAGAATTTTTAAAAGCCAAGAAACCAGATTTCATCCTCTTCCAGCGCCGCAGGCGAAAATTTAGAGAATTTTATAAGGCCTTAAGATCGGGATCCCGGAAAATCTCGTCGGGATCCTGTCCCGCGCCTACCTCTAATCGAAATATCAATGGAAAAATTCTAAAAAATCACAATATAAAAGCCACAAAAAAATAGTGGCAACAAATTGTCCTATACATTACAGTACTCTGACTTTCACCACCGTGAAAATTAGAGATAAATAAATAAAGAAAATATAGTTGAAAAAGATAGAAAAACTAATAATTTAGTGGTTACATAAAAATCGCGCGCGACACGCGACAATCGCTAGGCGACAAGACGCGCGCGACAGTCGCTAGTGGCGTGGTTACATAAAATCAGCGTTTGTCGCTTTGCGACAGTCGCTTTTGCGGAAGACGCCGATTTTATGTAACCACGCCACTAGCGACTGTCGCCGGCGACATGTCGCCTAGCGACTGTCGCGTGTCGCGCGCGATTTTTATGTAACCGTAGCATTAGGAAAGACAAATTACCAATTCTTAAATTTTTAAAATAAATTTTTTGTTTAAAATTTCCATTTTTTCATTATTTTTATTTAAAAAAAGATTTGGATATTTTACCGTAAATGTAATAGAATAATAACTCTTTTTAAATAGTAATTACCCACATCCTTTCAATACCCTTCTTTATTAAAATAAATATAAACTTTTAGTAGTAATTCAGGGCTCGCATTCCTACTTTTTTAAAAGTATTCTACTTTTAAATCGACCTTCATGCTTACGAAATTGAATTAATACTTTTTTGAAAGTATATACTTTTTTTTTGATTGAAAATGAAATTGGAAAAGGGATTGGGCAAAAAAGTGAATTTTTTGGTCTTCGGCCTCCAAAATTCTCAAAATTTTCGCCTGCGGCGCAAAAAATAGATTTTTTGGCGCCTTCGGCGCCACAAAAGGGTGCAATGAAAATGACAAAATGCTCAGTTGAAACAAGAAAATATTAGAAAAGATTCATTTAGGAGAGAATATAAAAGATTTGAGGACGAATAAATATTTTCTAATTTAATTTTGAGACTACTTTTTTTGCAAATTTTCTCCCTATATACTTTTTTATCGAGATTTTGATACTTTTGAGTGGCATTTTGTCGATGCGAGCCCTGTAGTAATTTATTTTAAAGAAAATAATAATTAAAAATGTTCTCCTATTTTTTAATTAAATTTAAAAAATATTCATTCTCCCAAATAAAAGCTAAATTTATTAATTTTTTTATCTTTTCCCCAATGTATTCATTTACTTTAGGGAAATATTTATTCTGTTAATAAATAAATACTATTTTTTTATTTTTAATTCCCAAATTAATCAGAAATAATTAAAAAATATTTTTAAGGAAATAGTACTTTTTATTTTTTAATTAAAATCATTTTTTTAATTAAAAAATAAATTCTACTAACATAAAACAACAAAAATAAATTTATAAAAACAATCAAAATTCTTACCAACGTCCTTCAACAGAGCAAAAGTGCGTGTTAAGTTCATTTTAATTAAAGACACGACAGATGTTTTTTAAAATAATATTTCTGTAAATTATTTAGACAATTAAATACAAAAATAAACAAATCACGCAAAAATATATTTTAAATATTTTTATTTTTAAATAAAGAAATATTTAATTTTTAAATAAAGGCTCTGTAATCTCTGAAACAACAACAGAAAATAATAAACAAAAAACTGAAATCCCTTCATCGGATTCGAATTCTGTTGAGCACAAAAGTGAATTAGCAACATTTAATGAGGTAAAGGGGAGGATTTACGAGCAGAGTCAGATTTTCGAATGCATTAAATTGTTCTAATTAATATTTATTATTCGAGTAAATAATTTCAAAATTAAACTTTAAATTACATTTTTTTAATTTTCAATTTTTATCAAAGTAGGAGGACCACCATCTCTGCTGTTCTGATTATTTTAGTGAATTAGCAGAATTTGATAAGTCAATGAATTTGGGAATGGCTTTTGAAGTGCCAGAGGGTGTTATTCAATTAAATGTTGGGGGGACTTGTTATTTAACTACTGTAGAGACTTTAAAAAGAGATCAATGTTCTTTACTTGCACAATTATTAACGGTTGATGGAATGGAGGCTAATTCTAAAGTAGGGGGAAATTACACTAAAGAGATTACCTAAATTTAACAAAAAAGGTTGCCAAAAGAATGAGTAATGGGGCTGTATTTATTGACAGAGATGGAGAATTATTTGCTTATATTCTCGATTTTCTTCGTAGTGGAAAACTTTTATTGCCAGAAAATTTTCGTGAATTGGCACGTCTTAAAGAGGAAGTAAATAAATAATAATAATTAAAAAATAATCTAATTAAAAAAAGGTTCAATTTTATCAATTGGAAGAGTTAATGCAACAATTAATTCCTTATTATAATTTAAAATATCCAACAAGAACTTCATCTACAAATATAAATAACAGTACAAATTCTGCTGCAGCAGCTGTTGCTGTAGCTAGAACAAATGCTCTTTATGAGACGGGTAAAAAAAGAAAAGAAAGATAAAAAATATTTAAAAAAAAAGGTGGATTTATAACACTTGGTTATAGAGGAACTTTTGCTTTTGGTAGAGATGGACAGGCAGATGTTAAATTTAGAAAATTACATCGAATATTAGTTTGTGGTAAAGCACAACTTTGTAGAGAAGTTTTTGGTGATACTTTAAATGAAAGTAGAGATCCAGACAGGGAAGGGGCTGAAAGATATACAGCAAGACTTTATTTAAAGCATCAATGTTTAGAAAGAGTTTTCCTTCTTAAACTAAAAAACAAAATTAATTAATTTAAAGGCTTGTGATAATTTATCTGAAAAAGGTTTTCGTTTAATTACCGCCTGTTCTAGTGGGGCAAATGGACTTGTATTAACAGCGAGTAATCAACAATCACCTGCAAATAATAGCCAGGTTAAAATAAATAAAATTCTCGAAAAGAAAAAATTCCCCTAGGTCCCTTTTCAGCGTGAAAGTGGAGATATGGAAGAACAACGTTGGGCACATTATACAGAATATGTATTTTATAGAGAACCCCAATTTGGGTTATTTACAAGTCCAGATATTAGTCCAAGAATTTAAAATGAATAAACAAATTTAATTTTAATTAATTAGTGTTTATGTATATATTTTTGAATAAATTTTTAGTTAAAAAATAAAAATAAAAAATTACTATTTCCTAAAAAATTGTTTTTTTTCTTTTTTTCAAAATCAGACATGTTTGTATTTAGTAAATAATGCATGAAGAATACGTAATCTAGAAAATTTAAAATATTATTTTTTAAATCAAAATTTTTATTTTTTACGTGCTCTTTAAATCTCCATTAACAATATCTGCAGGTCTACATTTTGGTTTTTGCATTCCAGCTTCCTCCATCAGAAAAAACGCAAATTGAACATTTTTTAATTTTTCTTCATTATTATTTACCTTTTTTTAATTAATTAATTATTTTTTTAAATTTAAATTAAAGAAAACTTGTAAATTAAATTTATATAGAGGGACAAAATATCCATCAAGAAGCCCCATAAGTAAAATAAGAAAAACGCCGTCTTGAAATTGTGTTTCCAAATCAGTTACTTCCAAATTAATTTTATTTAAGTGTTTATTGCAAAAAGTTATTAAAGAACCTTTAAGAAAATATTTTTTAATAAAAAGTTAAAGTAAATAGTAGGGATTAGAGATTGGACCAAACAAATATTTGACGTTGGAAAATTAAATATTTGATCAAATATTTGTTTGACCACTTTTGGATCAAATAGTTTGATTTGATTTTGTCGTTTGTCCGATCTCTAGTAGAGATCGCGGACTAAAAATAAATCTAAAACAAAAATCTCCATCCCTCTCAATCCTGTCCCTAATAAATTCTCCAACAAATTAAATTTAAAAACTCCCCAACTTTTAACATGTTGTAATTTATCAGGTCCGTGATCAAAAAGAGTATCAAAAGCATCCCTTTCCCCTTTAGGTGCTAATTCTGTTTGTTTTGTAGTTAATTGTTCTGTTATTATATTTTTATTTATTTGTTTTCCATTCCTTGTATATATCAAAACTTGAACATTTACATTTGTTGGGAAACGTATAGGTGCTCGGAAATGTAATGCCATTGAAATTAGTAAATGTAAAATAGCAACAATATCCTTTAAATTAATTTTTATTTAAAATTTGTAGTTAATTAAAATTCTTAAGATAACTGAAAGGTGTTAGAGGGCGCTAACTTTAATTTATGCAATTTTATATTTCAAAATTATGATAATTTAAATTTTATTATTTTCAAATTTGTAAATTCTAAATCAGTAAATTCTAAATTCTAAATAATATAAATTAAATATAAATTCTAAATCAGTCAGTAAATTCTCCATTCCCACATTATCTTACTTAATCAGAATTAAGAAAATAATTTGGATTTTGGTTAACTAAAAATCCTTCCCAAACAATCTCAAACAAAACTTCCATTAAAGTTTCCTTAAAATTTTGGAGTTTTTTAAAAAAACCTTTGAATGAATTAATTCTGCAGTCCATTTTTGTTGTTGTTGTCCTCTATTTAATTGTTGTTGATGTATATTTTGATTTTCTTGTTGGTATTGTTGATCATTCAATAATTTTCCCAAAGCATCCACAATAATTCGCAATTTTTGTCTTTGGCCTTCTTCACTCTGAGAAACTTCTGGAACTTCAATCTAAACATAATTAATCTTCAAATATTCCTCTCTCTTACAAAAACCTTAATTTGTGCCAACTTTTCAACTAATTTTTGGATAACTTGTCCATCAAAAATATCTTCCTGTAAATTCCTAACAACAATTCTATCCTGTGCCAATTCTTCATTTAACCAATAAATTAACAAATAATGTATTTCTTTAACTTTTGGATCATCTCTAGATTCAATTGTTAATGTTCGAATACTCTGACCTTTTTTTTTAAATTTTAATTACATATTTTAATTAATTTCCAAACCATCTTCTAAATTTCTCAAATCTGGTTGAGGCAAAATTAAACAAGAATCAATTGCATCCTTCCCCAATTTCTCAACTTGTTCAACTTCGTCTTCTTTTTCTTCTTTTGGAATTTCTTCTTGAGGGGGAGATTGCTGCTTTTTATTATTTAAATTATTATTTTTTTTAGTTAAAGTTCCAAATTTTGAAAGAATTGAATTTTCGTCTTTTTTGTTGCTACTATTACGGCTATTTATTGTGTTATCATCATAATATTCTGATGGCATTTTTTGTCTTTTTTTTTAATTAAAAAATTATTTAAAAAATATTTATTTAATCTCAAATAAATATATTGATTTTAACCAAGAATATATGCAGCTACTAACTAGAAACACACCAGATGACTCACATTTAGTAAAGGAAAAGCAAGGATCTCCTCAAAGGGTTGTTTTTACACAAAACAGTTGCTACATATAATTATTTTATAATATTTTAATAAAAATATTTTAATAAATAAAAAATATTTAAAAGGAAAAGAAATAAATAAAAATACAAAATTTATTATGTATTTTTTGATAATTTTTTAAATAAACAAATAAAAATATATTGAGCAAACATTGAATGAAATATACTATTTTATTTTATTAAATACAACGCTAACTTTTGTTAATTTTATCGAATATATTTTTGATTAAATATTTATTTATTATATTAACTAAAATATTTAAATTAAATTTTAATTCAAGATGTCAACAATTTCAAAATATTTTGGTAAATTTAAAGGAGAAGATGTTTTAGAATGTCAATTAATATCCAAAACCGGCGTTTGTATAAAAATATTAAATTATGGGGCAATAATTCGTGATTGGCAAATTCCAATGTTAAATGGAAGTAAACGTTGTGTAGTTCTGGGATTTGATAATATAGAAGATTATATTGAATATAGTCCTTTCTTTGGGGCAATTGTTGGGAGAGTTGCTAATAGAATTGGAGGGGCTAAGTTTTTGAAAGGAGAATAATAAAAAAAATATTTTTTAAATTTAGATTTTTGTTGGAAGGAAAAGAATATTTATTAGATAAAAATGAAGGGGTAAATCATTTACATGGAGGCGAGACAACCTTTGGAAAAAGAGTAAAAAATTAAATTTAAAAATTAAAAATTTAATTTTTAAAATTAAAGTTGTGGAAGATGACACAAATTTCAGAAAGTTCTGTTCAATTAAATATTTTTAGTTCAGAGGAGGAAAGTGGATATCCAGGGAATTTGAATGTTAAAGTTATTTACAGATTGGTGGATAATTTACTTGAAATTGTAAATAAATAATTAATAAAAGGGCAATTTTGGAATTAATTAGGAGGGACATGTAGGAGGGAATTAATTTAAAAGTTTATGATTAAGATTGAAATTTGAATTAAAAATCAAACATTTGAAAGAATCTTTTAATATTAATTTATTTATTATTTATCACAAATTTATAATAAAATACTCAACAACACAATAATTTATCTCTTTATTTTCCTCTCTCTCTCTCCCTCTTTTCTTATTTACAATCCTTTATTCTCTTTATATTCTTTACTAAGATTGATATTGTCCAAATTCTATAAAAAATAAAAAAATTAATTAAATTAATTAATTTATATACAAACTTCATATAAATCATCTTTCCCGCTTTTATCCCCCACAACTTCTCCTCCATTTTTCTCCTTCTTTTCCTTCTTTCCATTATCATCTACTCCTACTACATCTTCCAATACATCAAGTGTATATTCTTCTTCCTCCTTTCCATTATTATCCCTTTCAGATTCTTGTGTCAACTTAATATCATTTCCTCCTCCTTCTTCCAATTCTTCTTCTTTCTTTTTAATTTTTGACGTTGAGGATGACGAATTTTCTCCATTATTATTTTCTTGAATTTTTTCCAAAAATGCAAGAGAATATTTTTTATTTTCTTCCTTTTCTTTCAATTTTTTTAATTTCTTCATTTCCGCTTCTTTTCGTTGTTTTTCCAAAAATTCTTCATCTAGACCCAGATCATCCAAAGACATTAAAGAATAATAATTACAAACTTTCTCCTCTTCTTTTTTAACATCCCTCTTCTCCTCTCCTTTATTCTTTTCTTTCTCCTTAATTGGATTATCTTCTTCTGTCAACTTTTTTGGATTTATTGTTATTTTACAATTTGGACATTTTTGTTGTTGATTTTCTTTTTCTTTTGGTGGTGGCTTATTTAATTGAATTTTTGGTTTGATTGGGGTTTGTCGATGATGTTGTCGATGCTTTTTGTTTTTACTACTTTTTGCTTTCTGGACTTGTTTAGATTCCCGCTTCGATTTCTAAAAAATATTTAATTACAGTGCCGGAAAAAAAGATAGGACCAGAGGCTGTTAAATTAGTTTTTCATAAACTTTTTTCATAAATGCCATTAAAAAAGAGATAAGCGAAAAAAACTAAATTAACAGCCTCTGGTCCTATCTTTTTTTCCGGCACTGTAATTAAAATTAAAATATTCTCCCACCTTTACCTTCTTTTTATTTTTGCAACACAAAATTGACAACAAAAAGCCAAATCCAAAAATAATTACAAAGAAAAAAGTTGTAGAGCACGTAGAGAGAAAAGAAGAAGCAATCAAGCTCATGCTTAACACTAAGGATATACAAAAGGGATTACTAGTTAATTCCAACTTAAATAGTATTCTAATTTAATTGTGAAAATATACTTATACTTTATTTCCAAACAAATTATTTTTTGGATTTAATTAATTCTTTTCAAATTTTATTTTTTTTTTCAAAAATACTTTTTTTCATTTTAAATATTAATTTTTGTAATAATATTTTTTTAATTTTTATTTTATAGGAATTTGAAGCTAGCACTGATACTTTAACTCCTCTAAATTTAGTGCAGCATAATTATTTTAATTTGGCTGGAAGTGGGGATATAAGTAATCATTGGTTGAAATTAAATTCTGATTTTGTAAATATATTTTTATTATTTTATTTATTCTTTAAATTTTCTTTAAAAAGTATACTCCAACAAATAAAGAAATGATTCCGACTGGAGAAATAATTAATGTTGACAATACTTTATTTGATTTTCGTAATGGGAAATTATTAAATAAAAATAGTCATCAACCTTTAGAATTAGACAATAATTTTATTTTAAATAACAAAAATTCTTCAGAGCCTGTAGCTATTCTTAAAAGTCCAGATAATTTATTAACATTAAAATTATGGACAGATCAACCAGCTTTACAAGTTTATACTGCTGGAAAACTTAATTTGCCATCAAAAGTTTAAATTTTAAAAATAATTTAAAAAAATAAATTTTTTAGATAAAAGGATTAAATAACCAATTATACCCTCCATTTGGAGGGATTTGCTTAGAGGATCAACAATTTCCAGATGCTGTTAATCATCCAAAAGTGTTTCCATCAATAATCATTTCACCTACAAATCCATACAAGCATTTATGTAAAATAGAGATTGCTTGAGATTAATTTTTGAATTAATTTAAATTAAATTGTAATTTATATATTTAAAACAAATATTTATTTTTAAAAATTTATTAATAAAAAATATTTTTGTTAAAACAATTTTTAAATAATTCGTGAAAGGTCAGGTGTTAAGTACTAAAGAAAGTTTTTATTAAAAAATGTGAAAGTATATGAACATAGTTCACAAATCTTTTCTTAAGATTTAAACGCCTACGCTCTATCAATTTATCCATTTATTTATTTATTCTTTTATTTTATTCCAATATAAAAAAAATTCATAAATTGCTAGGTATTTTATTTAATTTTTAATTTAAAATTAACAAAATGGCCCCAATATTTCGGAGCCTTTCAGTGTCTAGCCTGTCCTCGTACAGGCCCCCACCAACAATTTCAAAAACTTATTCAATTAAAAGTTTGGACGATGTAAGTGGATCACCAAAAATTCAATATATTTATTTTTACCCTTATTATCGTTCATATTATCCTTCTTATCGATATAATAGTGTTAGGGTAAGTTTTTTTAAGAATTAATTTAAAATAAAAATAAATATATTTTTCTAGACATATGTTAATTTTTATAATAGACATTATTCTAATTGGCCAGAACATCATTTTAAGTAAAAAATAAAATAAAAATATTTTGAAAAATAATATTTCTTTTTTAAAGTTATCCATTCAGTAATTATAAACCTCTTTCTTTCTATGGCAGTTACACTTATGCCCCTTATAAAAGCTACAAGTAAATTTTTAAATTAAAAAATTTTTGGGGAAATTTTGATTGTTTTTAATAAATTAAAAATATTTTATAATCAAAATTAAACTTATTAATTTATTAATTCTTTATTAGAGGGGGGGGGTTTAGCAATATTATAAGTAAAATTAAAAATTACATTTTTAGAAACCCATCAGGCTATTATTATGGTTGGTATAATGGACCTTTAGATTATTAAATATGTATACTATTAGAGTGGTGATTAAATGGTGGAAAAAAGGGAGAATGAACAGAAAAAATTAAAAATTAATAAATGATAATTTTTTAAAGAAATTAATTAATTGATTAAAATTTATGTATGTGAATTTTTTATAAATAAATTTATTAATTAAAAATTGTTTATATGTATTTATTTAGTTAAAGCAATTCTATTTAATTTTTATTTTATTTATATTTTTTAAATAATTATTTACAGATTAACAATTCTTTTGTTTAGTTTTGATTGTTTTTTTGGAAGTCAATTCTTTCATTGAATAATTTTTTGGATCAATTTCCCGCACAAATTCACTCAAGTAAATAATTAGGGTGAATAGATAGAATATACATAAAAACAATAGAAACCCCAAAATAATAAGAAGAAAAATAAAATTTAAAACAAAAAGAAATCAAACATTTGAATTACTATATTATTTATATATATTTTTTGTATTTGGATTAAAATAAAATAATCGCCCTAACAATTAACGGATAAAATATTTTTTTAAAAATAATAACTGAAAAAATATAAATAGAAAGAGATTAGGTAATTTTATAAAAAAAAAATAAATTTACTTTTGAATGAAAGAAAAGTAACTTACAAACTAATACATATAATTAGAATCAACTTCAACAATTAGAACCTATGCCAACGTTGTCTCACATTTGAATACGCCACTTGGAAATACTTAAGTGGAATTGATGAAGGAAGAAAGTCTGATTCTACAAAAAATGACAAAAACTTCGGAAAGAAAAAAAGGGGGACCCTAAACCTTGGTTTACCCAAAAGTTTTTCTAAATTATTCCACAACTCTAAAATTATGTATATTTAAAAATATTTTCTTTCTTTTTTTTAATTTAAAAAAAATTGGTCTTGTTTCCTTGCAAATATTTTCTTAAATTTTCTTTATTGGCTAAAGAAGCACCTGCCTAGCTTTTGGAGGTTTTTTTGGGGAATGACGCAATGCGCGCGAGAAATAATTGTTTGTATGTGTTCAATTTTAGAATTGGCTATTTTATAGGTAAATTTAGAAGGAAAATTAGGGAGTGAAGAGCACAATATTGAAAAGAGCAAAAAATTAGGAGATAAGCTGGGGGGAGGGGGGGGGAAGAAAATAAAAAATTGTTTTCGCCTAAAAAAGTAATATAAAAATTAGTAGCAGCGAAATCCGAGAAAAAATTAATTTACGAGCGGAAATAAAATAAATAAATAAATAAATATTTCTTTTAAATTTATTTTGGTAAACAAAAAATAAAATTTTATTTTTTTTTTTGTAATTAAAAATTTGCTTAAAGTTATTTATTATTTTATTTTAAAATAAATTTTTAATTAAATTTTGTTGCAAATAATTAAAAATTAGAATATTTTTGAGTAATTTTAAAAATTGTCGGCGAAAGATTAATTAATTCTTAAGACAAATGCTGGTAATTACATATATTTAAAATATAATCATTAATTTTAATTTAATTATAATTATTTTATTTTTCACTTTAAAATGTAAAAATAATTTAAATTATTAAGTCAATTATAACAATTTAAATAATTATAAAAAATTAAAGTGTTAATTTCTGATATTATTTATTTACTTAATTTTATATTTTTTTGTTGTCCCTAATTTAAAATTACAAAAATAATTATTATTAAATTATTATATTTCTTAAAAAACTTGTAATAATAAGGATCCAGCTGTGAATGAAAAATAAATATAAATAAATAAAATTATCGGTCAAGAGTATGTAATGATGAAAATTTGCATTTTTTGAGAGAAACAAATTTATAGTGGAGACAGATAATAAAAATAAATTTTTTCTAAATAATTATGACAAGATATGCGCGAAAATGTTTTAAAAATAATTTTTAGAATTATTATGTATAATTAATTCTAAAATAAATAAATTTTATATTTAAATATATTTTTATATTTTTTATTAAAAGATGGCATCTCTCTTTTTAAAAAATATTTTTTTTATTTTTTTGTTTGACTTCTGTAATAAAAACAAGTTTTTTTGGGCCTAAAACATGGAAAGGATTGTAAAAGGAAAAAAGATATAATCTTTAAACAAAAGATTAAAAAAACAACAAATGGTTTTTCGGTTTATTTCAAAGAAGAAAAGGAAAAAATCTTTTCTTTTTTGACTTCTAAAAAGGACCATAATTTGTTACAAAAAAAACGTTTTTTGGCGCCAGAGTGTGCCATTTTATTTGAAAAAAACAAACAAACGAAATTTCATTTACAAATCCTCCATATTTTCTGAAAAATAATTGAAATTTTACCGCAAAGGAACAAATTCTTTTAAATATATTTTTAAATATATTGAATTTAAATTTTCTAATATTAATTTTAAAATTAAAAAATAGATTAAAATTATTTATGTATTGTAGGAAATATTTAATAGTTCCCAACAAGATCATTTTTCCTGCTCAGAAAACAAAATTTTGAATGAGCCTTCAAGCTGGACCAGATCTATCTTATTTCTTGGATTAATCGGGTTTGAAAAAATCCTGAGAGGAAAATATCCAGACTTGGGACGCGAACTCTGAAAAAATCCTTCGGATATTTTTTTATTTAAATTTCCTTTCAATTAATTCCACTTGAGTCAAGAAGATATGTATGTATGTATTAAATAAAAATTTTTTAAATAAATTGGATTACACAAGTAAATATATTCTCCTCTCCTTACTAATTTTTTCTAATCTTTTCTTTAGTCATTTAAACATACTTCTACATATACCTAAATATAATCCAATATATAAAAATAGAATACTTTAAAAATTGCGTAATATTAATTTCCTTTTTTATTAAAAATTATTTTAAAAAATATATACCTAAATTAATTTTAATTAAATATTTATTTTTATAATAAAAAAAGTTCCCGCCAAAATTTCTCGAAAAAAGGAAATGCCATTAAATGAACGGGAATATTTAATGATATCTCAAATATAAATATTTTTAAGGAAAAAGTAAAGAAGAATTCTGAGTAATTGTAGTAGTTGTAACCCGATCCTTATTTTTTGTATTTTAATTAGTTTGAAATATTCCAAATAAATGGAAGAGGGAAAATATAGTAGAAAGTAGTAGTGGAGTAGTGGGGTAGTACTTTCTCCCTTCTAAATAATAAATATTTTTATTTTAGTATTTGCCATTTTTATTTCACATTTTCTCATTATAAGCAAACATTTTGAATTTTTAGGACAGTAAAAAGAATTGATGGATTGAGATGGATATATGTATAATTGATGAAAAAGTTTAAACCATTTAATGATACATTTCCGTTATGCCACCCTCCTCCCTATATTAATGCTGAAAATGTCATATATAGGGTGCTTCATCGAAACTTGTTCAATGGTCGTTGATTATGACGCGTTGATTAAGATAGTATATAATTTTCACATTCAAATTTTTCACCCCAAAAGTTGCATGGTCCCCGTATAGTTTTTCAATATTCAGGGGTCTGTATCTCATAGTCTTTATATCCGGAAATAAACATTATAGACGTAATCTCATGCCTTTCATCATATTACAATTTGAGTACTAATATAGGAGGAGTGGTGTGGAATAACGGAAAAGTACCCATTTAATTCTTCATATGTATATTAATTTAAAATTAAAAATAAATAAATTTATTTTTATTAAATTAAAAAAATATTTTTTTCTCGTCCTCATCCATAATCATCGAGTGTCCTCATGGACCGACAAAGGTAACGAGAAAATCACAGTCAATTGCTTTCCTCAATCCTTTCCCCTTCAATTCTTGTGCCAATTATTTTTTTCTTTTTAAAAATTATTTAAAATATATACCGCTTATTTTCTTTTACCTTTTCATCAAAAAAGAGTCCATTCTCGCTACATAAGGTATTTTAGCCTTATGTCGAAAATAAAGCTTTGAAAAGGAAAATATAGTACGCTTTGGATGAAATATAAAAATTAATTATTTAATTTTAATAAATAAAAATTGGAGAGTAAAATTTAGAGAAAGTTTTAATAATTACGAAAATCATTCAAAATATTTCTAAATTTATCTAATAATC